ACTCGGATGAACCCTTATTGCCATGAGCGTTTTTGGGTTGATAGAGCCTAAATCCCCCGGGGCTAAGACGCATGTAGAACACATACGTTTTTTTAGAAAAATCGAAGGAAGTTGACTGTGAGAGGAGAAAATAAGCCACCGGACTGATTTTAGGATTGTTGTGACACGGCAAAAATTCCCCTGCCATGGTGCTGCGCACCGTCAGACAGTGCATTGTACCGTAACACGACAGATTTTGCCGTGGCACGGCAATCAGAAAATCTGACTGGTGCCCTGTTTTCCTTCGTACGCAATCAAGTTATTCAATTTTTCCTACGGGACAGACCTAAATGCGACGTTAAAACGTCTATGCATATGCAAAAATGCCAAATTAATCACAGGAATATTTTTCTAAGAATCTTTCAAGTCTCATCCACTCATCTTATTTAAATATCGATCACTCAAATCGATAAATAACCAAGAATCCTCCCCAGTGGAGTCGCCAAATTGTAGGCGTCGTTTAAAGTGCGCCTACGTTAAATGCATGTGTGAATATGCTTGGCACTCATAGGAAGTGAGAATTGACATATACGATTAGGGACAAGCTAAGGAAAGTAGGGAGCCGCCAACAAGTTTGTAAGGAACTTGTAAACCGTTCACGGATCATAAAAAGGCAACCATGATAAGGGACAACGATAGGCAACAACGATTGACCCGTGAAGTTTACACCCCATTCATAATCCATGAGATTACTAACTCCATATGGTTCGGAATCACGAAAGGAGGATCGGGGATGATGGTACGAAGTGAGTCATGGAGTCACATTCGCCCGTATTGGCCTCTACTCGATTCTTATAGTGAAAAACATTCCTGCGATCTCAAAGGCATACAAACAAAATATTCAATTAGCTCCAAATTATTATTAGGCTAAATTGGTTGAATATTAATGCAACATATTATTCTAAAATATTTGTGACCACTTGATTAAACAATAAGATTAAAAAGGAACCTAAACAGGTTGTCCAAATAATCTTATTAGGCGTGATTTTCAATTACATATTCCCTTTAAACATGCAATATGGTGATCAATAAAATAATAAACATTAATATTGGAAACAATTTAACAATAGTTCCAACAATATAAAATCGTTAGAAAAATAATAGAAATAAAAGGAACATAATTCTTACTTTGATTCTGTTTATTTGCAACTACAAAATAATAAACGAGTTAGTAACTTCAAGGAAATAATAATAAAACAACAATTAAATTAAATTAAATGAAGTAGAGTTGATTTGGGGCCAAACCCTCAAACAGTTCTACCTTTCACGCCTTGGCTTAAGGACAGAACCACGAGTAAAGTATGGACTCCTTGGAATACTTGAAGAAGGAATTTTGAAATAAGAAGGGTAGGCTAGTGTTTAGACTAAATCATAGAAGAGAGAAAAATAGAGAATTAGTTGATGCCCCGTACATCAGAAATGAGGGGGTATTTATAGAGAAAATGTGCTAAGGGAACACACGGAACCCTTAAATTATAAAAACCTAAAAAAGTATCCTGCAACACGGCAAACTGTACCGTGACACGGGAAGTCCCACTGTCAGACGGGAAACGTTCCCGTGACATGGTGCAATTTTTGAGTGACGCGGGAAATTTTTAGTAAACGGGGAAGAAAACGTGTTAAGGGTTTACGCGGAAAGGACACGGAAATTCCCGTGTCACAGCAAGTTTCCCGTGTCACGGGAAATCCCACCGTCAGACGGGAATGATTCCCGTGACACGATGGGTACCTGCCGTGGCGCGGGAATTTTCAGCCCGCTTTTCCGTCTAAATACATTTTTAACCCTAATTTCGTTTAGCATTTTAAGTGTCGATTGATAATTTCGGGCCTTTTTATGATTTATTATTATTTGGTCTAAAATAAAAAAAAAAAGCAAATAAAATAAATAAAAGGTTTGGGCCAAAAATAAATGATAAAACAATATAATAAAAAAGGTTTGGGCTGAAATTAAATAATAAGTTTTGGCTGAAGTTAAAACTATGCTTTTACCAAACATCAAGACTAATCCATGGACTGTTCAAAAATACAAATTTAATCAAAAACGATTTTTTAAGCACTTTAGGGATTAAATACTGAACCCGACCAATAGTGGCGGTGAAAGGTTGTTCCATTGGGTTTGGTTTTGGGGAGACATTTTTAGGTGTCTACACCTGTTTTTGGGTAACTTTAAACATAATACAATTTTTATATAAATAGAAAACAAGAAAAGTTTTATAAAAGTAATTTAATTACATTCAATCACTAATAATTGATTTTTAGTCATTTAAAATGTGATTCTTTACTAATAAAGTGTAGATATTTTTTATTTGAATTAGGTTACTTTTATGCATATTAGGGTAACTTTTATTCATTTCACAGGTAACTTTTAATCACTTTTAGTTATCTTTATAATGGATGTACAATAATTATTGTAAACCGGATTTTTTTAAAAGTTTGTGCAAAAAATTATCTCTATGTTCCAAAAAAATCACCTCATTTAAGGCCCTTTTCTTTTTAGCTCTTGTGGTGTGTTTTGCTCTTTTAAAATCTGTTTTACTCTACTTTATCCTTTTGAGTCCTGTTATGCATAGTATTAATACTCTGTTCTACTCTGCTCTGGTCTGTTGATACATGCTCTACTCTACTCAAAAGGATAGGGTCTAATTCTAGTATTAGACTAGGTCCCGTGGCATGCACAATAATGTAAAGTATTTAATTAGAAGTGTCAAAACCACACCCGACCGAACCCGATCCGAAATTGGCCAGAACAATGTCTGATTAAGATTTTGACTCACATGGACAGAATAATTTAGCATGACTCAAGTTTAAAAATTGACCTGACCTGATTAGACTTCATCGAAGCTGATCTGGACACCCAAATTGACACCTCTATATTTAATAACATCTATTTAACATCACTGTTAATTTATAAAATACTATAGAAAAAAAAAATAGTCTACAAATGTAGTGGAATAATTTTAATTGGATATTATGAAAAATTTTATGTTATTTAATTGGATATTTTTCTGTAACATTCCTCAACAATTTATTAAGTTGATCCTTATCTTTGGAATTTTATGTTATTTAATTGGATATTTTTTACTAATTGATCATATGAAAAATGTTTGAAATTTTTCATAACCTGATGCATGTTACGTCAAGCCAATGAAGTGTATTTTTTGCTAATCTGGTTATGTAATCCCCCATGATTTTGTGTTTATTATAATTATATTTTATTATTTATCATTAAACTTTATTATTAAATACATGATTATTTTATGAATATTTCGTAAATAATAAATTAGTTTAAAGTTATTTAGTTACTAGATGAAGCCCGTACGATGCACGGTTTGTTTGATTTTTTTTTAAATAATTTTTTTTTTGTATTTATGAGCCTAAAATTTGTTATATATTTAGATAAAATTCCTAATATTAAAATATAATATATAATATTTAATTAATTTGAACTTAAAAATCTCATTCGCCAATTTTACTTACATGACATTTGAATTATTTAATTTCAAAAAGAAATTAATAATCTCTTATTTAATTGGCTACTATTAAGATTTATAATCCTACATGGCGCGCTGAGAAAATTAGATCCTACATGGCTCTCTAAAAACTCGGGAAAAAACTCCCTTATTAAATAAATGATTATTTTATGAATATTACGTAAATAATAAATTAGTTTAAACTTATTTAGTTACTAGATGAAGCCCGTGCGATGCACGGTTTGTTTGATTTTTTTTTTAAATAATGTTTTTTTTGTATTTATGAGCCTAAAATATGTTATATATTTAGACAAAATTCCTAATATTAAAAGATAATATTTAATATTTAATTAATTTAAACTTAAAAATCTCATTCGCCAATTTTGCTAACATGGCATTTGAATTTTTTAATTCTAAAAAGAAATTAATAATCTCTTATTTAATTGGCTACTATTAAGATTTATAATCCTACATGACGCGCTGACAAAATTAGATCCTACGTGGCTCTCTAAAAACTCGGGAAAAACTCCCCTTTATATATATATATTAGATTACTAATCATTTTACTCATACAAACTAATAGCCTAGTCCAAGTTACCTCAAAGCCCAACCTTACATCTTATTTTATTTAAGCTTTGGTACATATTTGGGCCTAAATAAGTTGTCCTAATTATATGGTTGGATTAGAAAATCCTCAGCCCACAAATTTTCACCTCTAATCTCACGTATTCCCCTCTCTTCCTTTTCCCACTTTTCCTCTTACTGTTTTTTCCCTTCTCCTTTTGCTAATCACGAACCCACAAAAAAAAGAAAAAAAAAATTGCTGCTTGCTGCAACCGACGACAGGCCACCACCGGCGCATGTGTGCTGCTCCGATGACCACCATGGCTCACACACGACCACCAGTTTGCCCCCTTGACCCCTTCTATCTCCTTTTTCCTTCTTCTTTTTCTTTTGTTAATTTAATTCAAGTTTCTATCTTTACAAAATTTTTGTTTTTAAATTGTTGTTATTGTGATTTGATTATGCATATAAATTATAAAAGATTATAAATTTCTAAATTTTGCTATGTTTAATTTAATGACAAAAATTTCAGATTTTTATAAGTATGAAAATTAGGGCTTAAACCTTGTTTTTTTTTAATGATTTTAGGGTTCATAACGTGTTGATTAAATTATCTAATTATATTAAGTATAAATTATGTTTAAACTCAATTATCTTATTTATACTTTAATTTTCAGATTTTAATTGTGTATATTTTAGGGTTTAAATTGTGAAGTTTGAAGGTTTGATTAAGTTCTTATGAAACTAATTGAATTCCAATTATTTCAAGTTTAAATTGTTGTATTTATACATTCTATTACTAAATCAAATTTTCAGATTTTAGGTTAATGTTTTTGAAGCTTCTAATTGCATTAAATTGGTGAATTTTTGAGTTTAAAGCCTACTAACTTAATATATAATATTAGTAGTTTCATATATTACTATAATTTTAAGATTTCATGTATAAAGTAAATTTTCAGATTTTTATAAAGCTTTAAACTTGCTGAAATTTCATGTACAAGGGTGTATTTTAAGGTTTTTATAAAGGAAATTTAAAGAACTATATACACTAGTAGAAAAAATGCTATTTGTAAACTAACATAAGTTATGTTAGTTACAACAAGAGTATTAGTAATTGACATAAATAATGCGGGTTACAATAAATTATTATTAGTATCTTTCATAATCAAGGCCAGTTACATATAGTAGGTCAATGATAAGCTGACTAACTATTAGTAATGGGCATAAAAAAGGTCAGTTACAAATAATAGGTCTAACTTTATTGACTTTATTAAATTTAATGGCCTTTGTTAAAGTCAGTTACAAATACTTACACGACCTTTTTTTTAGGGAAACAAATATTTACACCAGTCACCCTTCTTCCTTTTCCCCATTTTTTCACAAAATCCGTAGCTTTTCTCTCTCCTCTCAAAACTATTCTACAGCTCCTCCAAAATTTCTTAAAGCTTCTCCAAAACCAAAACTCATTCTTCAACAATATTATTAAGGTACATATGCTCTCGATCTCCACCTAATTTACATTATTTTTTTATCACTAAGCCATTAGTTAATAAAAAGATCTAAAAACAATTCTAGGGTTTGTGCTTTTGTTTGTCAATTTAATTTAATGGAAGTTTTTGGGTTTTATTACTTTCCGGTTACAAACTCGTTCATATTAAACAGGAATTAAAGAAAGTTTGTCTACTTTTGAGATGCTGGATTGTGATATTTTCGAGCTAATAAATTGAAGCTTATAATTCTTAAATCGGTGTCTTGTTGAACAATTTGCTGGGCTAAAAGATTCGGTATGGCTCTTCAATTTAGGTAAAATATTTGATTATGATATATAGTGTGTTTTTTTTAAATACTTCTATGAGAAATTTTACAATTTTAATTATCACTATTTTAAGGGATTCAAAATTAACATAAATGAACAAGCTTCTAATTTGAAGATTTTAGTGCATGTGACTAGAAACGTTAGTTTTCGAAGAATTTTAAGCCAAATTTTGAGTTTATTTAGAAATTTTTGCTTGTGGTAGGGTTGCAAATTTGTGATTAAAGCCTATCTAGAGTTTGAGACACCCTATTGTCAAAAAAAAAAAAAAAGAGTTTGAGACACCCTGCTTGAAAACTCAATTTATCTATTTTATAGATAATTTTCATCTGATAATTCTCAGGAAAATTTTCAACCACTTAACTGATTAGAATTCATAAATATTGATAGTTCTTGGTTCCTGTGAAAAAAATTTTGCTGCTAGTTTCTTAAAATGTAGTAATTGGACAATCCATACAAAATATGAGCTTGGAGCCATTCATATCTCTGTACTCAGATCTCTCATATATGTAGTATATTGTTTCTAATTCTAATAACTTTAGTGAAACTTTTCTTATTTATCTTATGGAAAACTTTGATATTTGAAAAAAAAAGTCGAGAAACATGAGTGCATAACTAAAGCTCATATGGCGAATAATTTCAAGTATTGACAAATGATACAAATTTAGTGTTTTTATTCTTAATTAGTCTGTATCATTTTCGTTGAATTTTCCTTGCATGACTGTCTTACTTCCCTCTTAACAAGGCAATGATTACTGTATTTTGCTTGATTTTCTTATTCCGTTTCTTTTAGATCATCTTTTACAACATTATTTTGTATTTTGCAAGTCGCTTAAGTCTGCGTAGCTGTCAGATCTCTTGTTTGTATTAAGGACCATGATGTTTGGATAGATAGTGAAGTAGTTGCGATTAATGGTGAAAATATAATGGTCTTTTATTTTGATATATGGTGAGTGTTTAATTGCTTAGTCTCATGGCATATATCTCAATGTATATATATAGCTTTAATTATAGTAGAAATGTTTATTTAAAGTAGGTTTATATGAAGCCTCTCTTTAAAACAGTGCACAAGTGTGCAAGTGTACATGCATGGATGCTTACTTTCCACTAGATTATTTTTTATGTCCATCTTTGTTTATATGTTTTTTTTCTCCAATTCAAGGATCTCACGTTTATTTTCAAGGATAATTTTTGTCCTGTTTTGTGATAATTAGTGACTAAAAAATGGTTTGTTAGTTGTTGATTTTGTAAATTTATTGCTTTTGAGAAATATTAAGCTAATTTTTTTATTTGATTGTGAAATTGTTGCTTGTACTAGGATTTGTGTATTAAACGTAGAATTAATATGAACTTAGATTGCAAATTTGTGATTAAGACCTCTCTAGAGTTGCTAACAATAAGGTCTTATCACAATTGGAAGTCCAAAGATTAACTAATCGTAATGGTGTACAGGGCCGCATCAGGGAATTTGTTGTTGAAGTGGTGACGCTTAGTCTAGCAGATCACCCTAATCTTGTGAAATTAATTGGGTACTGTGATAAGGGTAATCACAGGTTGTTGGTGTATGAGTACATGCCACTAGGATCCTTGGAAAGCCATCTACATGGTACATACTACATAGGCGCCTCAGTGTGTTTTTTATGCTACAGTAGTCCTTCTCTAGCAATTTTTTTTTCATATCCTAATGCATTTTTTTGTATTGCCTTGATAATGAATGCTGCAAACCTCCGAAATAAGCAGAAGGCTCTTGATTGGAACACACAGATGAAAATAGCTGCTGGGGCGGCTAGGGGCTTAGTATATTTGCATGACAAGATGGAGCCACTTGTAATATATTGTGATTTGAAATACTCAAATATCTTGCTTGGCAAGGGCTATCACGTTAAACTGTCGGATTTTAGGCTGGCCAAAGTGGCTCCAGTTGGAGACAATACTCATGTATCGACTCGGGTAATGGGTACATATGGTTATTATGCACCAGATTATGCAATGACGGGTCAGCTGAATTTTAAATAAGATATATACAGTTTTGGTGTTGTTTTTATTGGAGCTTATCACAGGAAGAAAAGCAATTGATAGCACAAAAGACGGGCGTGAACAGAATCTGGTTGCTTGGGTAAGATTATTTTTGTTAGAGATGTTGCTTGGATGTGAAGTATTACCTTCTTGCTAACTTTAGTTGCATCTGATTGGATTGAACTTAGTCTACATTGGCTGATTATATTGATTATGTTTACATCATCTTATAGCTTGCCTTGAGGTTCGATATCTTAGAGTTTGAGAGCAAAGTTAGTGATTATAATTAAAATCTTAGACCAGATTTGTTTACTAAATATGGAGTGTTATAATTAGAAGTACTATGTCTTTTAGAAGTTAATGATTTCCTTTAAATCCATTAATTACTATCCATGAATCTATTCTATGTCACAGTCCTGCTTTTAGTGTCAAATCATGTGTTGTTTGAATCAGGGCTTATCTAAAACTATGGGCTGCTAGTGTCTGGCTTATGGAATATGGAAATAACAATTAAGCTTTGATAAATTGCCTTGAATCATCTCTAGTAATTAGGTTGTATATTTACAATTATAGGTCACATGGCTGCTGTTCTGAAGCTCTTTTGGTAATTTACAATTATAGGTCATGTGGTACAAAGCTTCCTCAAAGTCACACATTTATTGGTGCATGCTCATTATTTGGTTCCAATGATTGTAGGCTCATTTGTTTTGCAATGGTCGGGGCTTGTATATTACTTGTAATGATGCAGGCTCATCAGGTATGCAAATTAAAAAGCTCACTTATGTTGGATATTTCTACAACTCTAAGTGGTGAAACATTGACAACCTGCTAGTTAAGAAAAATAGATTGTGCTAGTTAGACACCTAAGAAACTGAAAATTGAGCTAGTTCAGGCACCAAGCATCTGCTACCCTATTTTTTGTTGTATTTTATATTTGGGGTTTTGATTTCTGTATTGAATTTATTGGTGACTAGTTTTGTCTAATAATTGAAATTACTGGTTTTGATTTATGTGTTGAATTTATTTGACTAGTTTTGTCTAATAAATGGCTGAAGTTTTTCATGTGAGTTTTGATGTTTATTTTCTTTTATATCCACTCAATTTGTGCATTGACCATGTTGGAAGAGTTCACTTGGTGACTATCTGAAACAACCCTTTTTTAGTTTTGGCTTTTTTTATGTTTATATTTCTTTTCCATGCAGAATTCTGTTGCAATATCAAGTGCTTAATGTGAACTGCTGTTATCCCATACAGAAGAGTCAAATTTGTGGAGCAGACATTGACAAAATCGTCAAAATTTGAATGTTGAGCATTGTATCAATTAACTAACTAGCTTTTTTTAGTTATAGATTATTGTGTTTTTGTGAATTGTGAGATAATTATTTGTAATTTGCAAGTACATCTATTCAATATAATTTACAAGATGTCATTTAAAGTTGGTCTTATATTGGTTTGATTGATAGTTATTGTATTTTATAAAAGTTTATTAACAATTAATGGTCTTTACATTAAAAAAATAATAAATGTAGTGTACGGGTGGTGGCAGTAGAGGAATTTGCTATTTGCTACTGCTACCATTTATTTATTTTTTTTATAACAAAAACACTATTCGTAACTGGCGTAAGGCTATGCTAGTTACAAATAATATTATATTTGTACCCGGCGTAACTTCACTCCAGTTACAAATAGTATGTTTTCTAACTTGGAAACTAGCCTATTTGTAACTGGCGTTGGTTTAAGCCAGTTACGAATAGTACATTATTTGTAACTAACATTAGCCGGTTACGAATAATTTTCACTAGTTGTAACGGTGACATTCGCAACCAGCAATGCCAGTTACAAAAAATCAATTTCGCCAGTTACAAATAGCATTTTTTCTACTAGTGATACAAGCTTTTGATTTTAATTAGAGGGGTGTTACAAAGTGGTATCTGGGAGCTTAGGTTCGATTTAACTACCACTAAAGTCAATATAAAGTTTTTAGGCGCCTATTGTTTTAAAATCTTGCGATTTTGGATTTAATTACTTGATTTAAAGTTAACCTTTTTATTTTTGAAAAATATTTTATTTAAAATAAAACTAATTTGGAATTTTAATTAAAATAACATGTACGTATTTATACATATAAATTATTGTGTTATTTAATTATTTTTGAAATAAAATTAATCATAATTCTTTGAACCTTAGTATTACTTATTTTATTTTATGTGTGAGTTTTGGGTAGTCTTAAGAAGGGCATATAGGATAGATGATTTATTTCTATGTGCATTGTAATTTAATTCTTTGGTGTTATTTATTTTGGAATGTAGTCTAGTATCATGTTTTAGGATTGAAACATATAATGGTAAATGGTTCAATGTGATAGGTTTGAATGGCCATTATGTGAAGCATATATTTATGTGACTATTAATATGCGTTTTAATGAATTTATTTATTTTAATGCTTGGCTTTTTAGGAAGAATATTTCTTTCTTTTATTTGACTTTCCTTCAAACCTTACACCCAATGAGAGTTTATTTTACTTGGAGAATCAATAAACATGTGGCGTTGATGAAATATTGAATTGAGAATTGAGTTATGCACTCATGTTTTTCGTATGATTATTACTTGGAATAAGTGTTTAGTGAAAAGTTTTACTTGGGAATTTTCGAAAATAGGCTTATGAAGGAATTAAGTAAGTTTCATTGGGAAATTAGAAGTGAACTTGGTGAGCTAGTTAATAAATATTAAAGTGTGAGAATATGAGTTAAACTATGAGTGTTTCGTGGGGGATTGGAAAATGATTGAGATGAGAACTACCTACGAAATTATAATGAAATGCTTGATTGGTGATGTTATTTACTAAGGTGAGTTACGGGGGCGTAACTCTTTTTTGTAAGAGGGGTAGAATGCGATATAATTTCGCGCTTTTTACCTAAATTATGCTATTTATTGCTTGAGTTTGCATGATTTTGCTTTTTATTATACATTATTATTTTGTTTACATGCAATTGAAATATGTAAACTTTGGCCAAGTACGAGTTTATTGAGTATAAAGTTCAGTTTGTTGAGTATACATGTTGAGGATCAAGCAATTTATAGCAATAGAAAACACAAAAGTTTGAATGTTGAATTTTCAAATTTTAGGTTATTGTTTTTGAAGCTTGTAAATACATTAAATTGGTTAATTTTTGAGTTTAAAGCCTACTAACTTAATATATAATATTGGTAGTTTCAAATATTACTATAATTTTAAGATTTCATGTATAAAGTAAATTTTTAGTTTTTTTTTATAAAGCTTTAAACTTGCTGAAATTTCATGTACAAGGGTGTATTTTAAGGTTTTTATGAAGGAAATTTAAAGGACTATATATAAGCTTTTGATTTTAATTAAAGGGGATGTTTCAAAGTGTTGTTTAATTGGATTTTAAAGGTTTTTAAGTAAGTTAGTATTGCTGTAAATTTGGTTGTTTGAGTATTGATTGAAATCTTATTGTTTGGTTTAGGAAGGACTTTATAGAAGGTGATTTCTAGTTGGCAAGGTGGCATACCAATTTGTTTATTCAAGGTACGTACGAGTTACGAAACCTTGCCGTTAGAAGCATGTTTAGGGATGAAACGAGAACTTAGTATCATGTATAGAGAAGACTGGGCTAAATGGTTTGGTTATACATTGTGATTTCCGTATGTTGTGCACTAGTCTATATTGCAAGTATTATTTATGCTTTAATGATGTAAGATGCGCTTAGAGGCAAAGATATGTGATATAGTGAAATGATTCATTTAATACTCGTTCATGATCATGGAGATAGAATGAGTAAAGGAAGATTTTAAGTCTTATGAGATGTGGTTAAGGTTTTAGGGTGCCTTATGCACTCAAGGTGTTTATACACCGAGGTAGTTAAAGGAATAAATAACAAAGGTTGATTGTCATAAATAAATCAAGAATTGAAATTGGAAACTTGCTTTGCTTGATTGAATTGATATTAGATTGATTGTATTGTTATGCATATGAGTCATCACCAAGTCTAAACTTGTAAATCACGTAAAGTGCAAGATGGATGAGCAATAAAACTCTGGATTTGTGCACATCTGAAGAAATGACAATCAGGGGTTGGGGTACACGGGGTATTAGCCGTGCACTTTTCTTGAGGTTGTCAGATCTGCGAGTCTCTTATTTTAAATACTTTTCGAAAACTAGGAGTTAGATGAGATCTCATACTAGCTACGGTCATGGAGTCGTGCCTGTGGTCGTTGGATGTTTTATTGATGTTTCCGAAAGGAGGCATGTGGTTTTTCTTTTATTGATGTTCCAAATGGAGCATGGGATGGACAACCTTGTCTATTGATTAGCAATGATTATAATGAAATTATTAAGTTGTCATTAAATTGAGGAGTCTTAGTAGTTTATGAGTCGTTAATTAAATTGTATGTCATGATTAATTATTAGTAGCATGCTAGGGATTTCTTATTATGTTTCGCAACTTGTATGTACTCAGCTTTGCTGATTGCGTGCTTTATGTGTCTTTATTTGGTCATGGCCTTCGCCTTTCAATGACCCTGTGACGATCCAATTTTTACACTTATAATATTGGGGAGCAGATTAACCACAAGTTCTTACACATGCAGCATTATTCGTATCTAGGTGGTGGGATCTTGAGTGGAGTGTTGGTTGCTTTTCTCATTTTATTTTTCTATTTACCTTTGAAGTTAATTAAACTCGATTTCATTTTTATACTACTTCTACTGGTTTGAGTTTTGAATAAGGGCCTTAAGGGTTCCAAGTTGTAAGACTTAATTTGGTTTTGCTTATTGGTTTTGAAACTTATTTGTAACTGAATTAGTTTTTCCGCTTCTAATTTCTAATATAGCCTTAACATGTGAACACGTGGCGTTAGCACGTCAGTAATTCTCTTGGATTTTGTTTAGGGTACTTACAGGTTTAAAGAGAGAATTATTGGGATGTTACAAATTAGTTATTAAATAAGCCAACAGATTACCCTCAGATGCATTGTGCACGTATATATATATATATATATATATATATATATATATATATATGGAGTTTATTCCCGAATTTTTAGAGAGTCACGTATGTTTCGGGTGATTTTTGGATTTCCTCGGATACTGGTCACGCTCTTCTGTCAATGAGACTGAGACACCTGCAAAAGAATGAATATTCCTTTACCGGAATATTCGCCTCCGACGATCAACTTAGTGATCAGAAACGGAAAAGGCTAGAGAGAGAAAGTAGAGAGAAGTTGGAGCTATTTAATGCTCTTGCTTGTAATGTCGTAATCCACCCCTCCCATCATAAATGATTGGGGTATTTATAGGGATGGGAATTTGTGCCCCTTTAGGGTTTGTACCCTAGAATTACGTGACGTGATTGGCTGCGCAATCACGCAATGCCACGTGTAACATAGGGGCGCCGTTTTGCGGCTTTCGGAAATATCTCTCGGGATTTGGGCCATGATGTAATAAGACCCTTTTAATGCTGATTTCAAGGGTTTTATGCGCCCTAAACTCGTGGCATCTTCCCGTAGTGACACGTGTCACCCTTTCATTGGGTCACGTGTCGCTAGAGGATTGGCCCACGCATAAGAATGCTTTTAACCTGAATACGTGGTGTCTTCCCATAGTGACACGTGTTATCCTGTCATTGGGCCAAGTGTCACTACGGGACTGGTCCACGTATATGGGGTATTTTTACCCTGAACATTTGCCCATCAGAGGGGGTGGCTCGTACGATATCGGCCGCCTCCTCTGATTTTACTTGCCTTGATGCGTACGAATATATTAGGATTTTGGTAGATTGCTTTCGTCCGCCTAAAAATTCAAGCGGACGCCTATCTTTGCGAAAGGAGCGGACAAAGTAAGCCGCCTCGATTTTCGGAGAAAAGCGGACATCTATCTTTTGAGGTGGAAGCTCTAGTTCCGTCTTTTTTGTCCATTATTTTTAGATGCGCTGTTATTAAGTCGTCTCCTTTCCCGTTTATTCTAACGGCGTTGTCCTTTTCCCCCCTCAAATTCTAGGTTAATGTTTGAATTATAACCGCTCAGCTTCTTTAGGAGGGAAAGGTGAATTTACCATCTTGACCCCATAAATTTTGCCTATATATACAGGGGCTTTGACCTCATTTTCACACTTTGGAACTTTGTGTTTTCTAGAGAGAAGTCAAAGCTTTTAGAGAGAGAAAGTGTTGTTTTCTTTGAATCTTCAAGAGCTCCGCCGTGCCTTTGAGTTTTCCGGGTGCATTTTTTTAGTTTTCCGGTCAACCCTCAAGACTTTTCAAGTTTTCTACACGTACAGAGGTAGGCCACCTTATTTCTTTCCCTTTACTTGTATTTTATTTTTACTTTTCATTTTTTAAATCTGGCTCAACACTCGGCTTCGTCCGTTTCTCCTCATGAGGCCGACCGTTTGCCTAGGACTAAGGAGTCTAGAGTGGACGGAGACGATTCGT